CACATCGTTACAATTAACAGACAAGTCACAATGACTTACTTTCCTGTTTGTATCCAAGACACTGTGTCCCTTCTTTGACCCAGGCATTGTTGAACTTGACCCAATTCCAAAAAAGTTCCAGATATTGCTTGTTCAAAGAGGACTTGACCGGCACCAGGAAAGATGAACGGTGACTATCCAAATTTCACCAACTGTCTGAATCCGCTAGAGTCTGTTTCTACCATCAGAAACTGTCAGCCACGTCACATAAACCGTTAATGCCCAGCTCTTGCTACGCTCGGGCCCACGCTGTTCCTTGCAGTTTTTCAGAAACGCTTAGTAATAACGGACGAAAAAACCAAAACACCGATCTGCCGCTTGATATTTCTTTATTGTTACACCAACATATAAAAAATGTCACCACTAAGGTCTGTGAACAAATATTACAATAATAAATCATAAGATTACTTCTGATGGTTTGCTACTGACTACTTTCTGAACAGCGACCGATGAGACGATGACTGTCGTATTGATGCCTCCGCGAAAATTGGGGAAGTTGGTTTTGAGCAAACGACCATGAATTGATCGTTCAGTCTTCACCTACATTGACAGCTAGGAAGTTCAGCAATTCATAACCTACACTATCACAATATTAAAAGTGTAGTAGATTAGGCTGTGATCGAATGGTCCTCTTACAGTCTCCTGAATAAGCCTGATGATGAGGTGAATGTGACTTTGAAGGTGACCAAAATGGATGTACCCATCGTCAACAAGGTAGAGTCCGTAGTCTCCCTCCTCCACGGAACAAGACATCAACTGAAAGGCTGTTGGTTTATAATCCCACGCCGAATATAAAATTACTGCCCGTGATCGTGGATGTAGATATGTTTCTGGATGGTCCCAAGTCAAAAACCAGTGTCCCCAAAAGTCGAAATTATTCAACCATAGCCAGAGCGCGACAGTAGAAGAGGATTTCGACAATAAATCATAACCGAAAATCCACTATATTCACAAGATGTTTTCAAGAGAAATAAGGTACAAAATTATGCTAATAACCACATGTATATTTTTTATTATAGCTTGAAACCGCACCGTATTTTTGGTGCAAGTATGGAATTTTCAGCATGTGATATCGGTAGCCCAAATTTTGCAGGCCGACCACTGGTATCAGGTGTGCGTCGGGAGGGGACCGAACCCCGAATCAGGTGCATGATCGGCGAGAGATCTAACCACTGTGCCACCGACGCACATAGTAGAGATAAGACCAGACGGTCCAAGGGCAATAATACCAGCACATAACTGCATAGTATGCGAAGTCACACTTAAGTCTAAACTAGCAAATGACGTGGCAACATCACCACTCTAAATGTCACACTGGACAATACTCAAAGCTCAGCTACCAACCACTCTGTGTCCTCAAAATATGTCATGCAAACAAACTTTGACAGAATATATGGAACAAGTCTGCTGGGAATTAAACCCCGGTGCATATAACGAAACCCATGTAAAGACACTTAGAGTGACTCCAAACAATAGGCAAATTGATAAACCATGGGCAGCACAAGGTACCAATGATTTTCATCCACCACACCCCTCTCAGAGCTGACCAAACAACTGGTGGGGATATTAACTCTTATCGATCCGAAAAACTAGTGTCGGTCCTCCATCGGGAAGAAAACAAGTACAGTCTAGGGCACACACAACTAGTAATCACATCCAATGCTTGTACGAACATAGACCTAATAAGCCTACCCAAACAGAACTACCTTATCCTGTAGCGAATCCGATAATAAAACTCATTCTGGCTTAGTTATTCTTAGCTATTTTTAAGTAGGTCACATGCGTGTACGACTTTACTATAGTCTGGTAGTTACGTGCTAGTGATAGACTGTTAAGAATACGTTTTAATTCAAAATAAGTTTGAAAATCAGGCATACTATGCAAACGATACTCTTAGACATCTGATAGAGGTGATGGAATAGCCATTATATGATTTTACGAGGGGGGTCCTGCACTGTTTGTTAATGAAGTCAAGATACTGCGATTCATGTGAGTCACAATAGCTAGTGCATGTGTTTAAACAACTGAGAAATCAGCTTTTTTGCACACCTCTTCAATCTATTCTTGTCATGTTTATCAGTAGTGGGTAGCTGTGACAAATATTGTTCGGGAGATTTGCTCGACTGCTAAGCCAGTAATTTGTTTGTGAATGACTGCACTGTTAAGTCAGTGGTCAACTGACAAGATGGTGTAGGAAGGGTTTTAGTTCAGCTTGAACGCAGTCTACTGTTGTTTATGCAACTGATGGTTTCACCACTAATATTGAGTGTGGTGAATAAGCAATGACTACGCTGAAACTAGTGTCGTCAGTATGACTGGGAGACTATTTTGTATGAAAGGAACATCCTCACTCGTAGTGATCTTGATAAAATAATACATATGATAATGTACAGCAGTGCTTCCTGTCTTTAGAAAAAAGTTAATTCGGAAAAAGAGGGCTGATTCAATCTTCACCATGTCGGGTTCAACAAATTCAAAATACCAGTTACCTGTGTAACATGGAAGATTTTCAGGTTGCTAGCTTGCTCATCTCATCCAGAAATAATGTTATTAACTCTTATGTGGAGATACATTATGCTAGAATCACGTCTATGTTATAAAAATCTGTTAGCAGTTTGTTATAACTTAATTGAAATGAATGAATCTGTTGCTACTTATTTGTGTCGGCGCCCGTTAATTACTATAACTGTAATGAAATGGACTGATACGCTAATACGTCTTTTCAATGTAGTTGAAGATTGAACGATCAATTCATGGTTGTTTGCTCAAACCTAACTCTATATTTTTCGCGGGAGTCATCAATACGGCAGTCATCGTTTCATCGTTCGCTGTTCAGTGGAAGACAGAAAACTACCAGAAGTACTATCGTGATTTATTGTTAAAACATTTATCCTTAGACATTGTGTATAATAACCTTATTGTTGGTTACATATTGGCGTAAGAATAAAGGATTCTCGGGTCGCCTATCTGTGTTCTGGTTTATCGCGTTGGTTATTACAAATTATTTCAGAAAGTCTTCCAGGGACAGCGTGAGGTCCAGCGTAGTAAGAGCTGGACGTTTACAGCTTCTGGGAGTTGGCTGGCATGTCTGTTTTTCATTTATGCCTTCTAGTCACTTGGCCAGGGAAATATCAAAAGACAAAGGGTGGTCTTACTGTAAGATACTGTGTTGTACTCTACTGTATATTTTAACAAGCAACATTATATTTATGCATTTTCTTAACAATAATAAATTCGCCTCACGACCTTGAGAATTCATTGATCTTATTTGTTGGAAATATCTATTCTTATTGGTTGATGATCAGACAAAGAACAAGGTCAGACAAAAGAAGATGAATTGGCCACACATTAGATCACAGTACGCGTGAGAAATGATATATTCACATGGTAACTCCATCACATGATAAATCGCACGATTCGTGAGAAGAGAAGACATACTATTTTACTCTAGGTCCTATCGCCTTCACCTACAAAAGTTTATGGCTATCTTCTGAAACTGGTTTGAGAATTTTCGATTTTGCGGCCACAAATAATTCGTGCTGAAGATAAATTATTTGACGGTGAAGTGTTCGGTGGTGTGATAAGGCCAAAAAATATCTGTTGAATATTTCACCCATTCTTCCCTCCCACTTACATGTAATGAATACACACTTTGATGCACCGACGAAGCGTTCACGTCGCACATTTGATTGGGGTTGATGCTCAGTTTGACGTCTTGTATAGGAACCAAGGCGAAGAAACTAGGCTAAAATATTAACCACAGAAGACAAGGGCTAGGCAACTTATCGTTTACTGAGAAAATCAAGAGGGATTTATAGATTTTTATGTACATTTTTATTAGCGTTATTGTCAGCGGAGAATCAACGTCTCCTGATTGGTTTTTTTATTTCTGAAGGTTATTCTGTACTGCTTTTGACCGTTTCTCAGAAAGTTAAGCCATATATCTGCGAACCCTATTCGCACACGTTATGTCCACTGTGACTGAATGGGGGTTTCCTCAAGGTTAGGCCTTGTTTTTGTTTCTTCTCATGAACCCGATTTGGGACGTAATCATAGACTTAAATTCTTGTGTACAATTTTGGCTGAAGATGAATTGGTCACACACTAGGTCACAATATGCGTGAGAAATGATACCATATCATGGTAACTCCATCATCTGATAAATCACACGATTCGTGAGAACGGATGATATACAGTTTATGCAACGTGCTATCAGTCTTCGTCACATTAGATTATATTCTTTAAGGTAATGTTACTTGGAAAAACCACATGCGTGTAACTTTCTTCTTTGAACTCTAACGATATGAAATATAAGTCTTTGCCCTAAGATATCTCTCTTCAGTAAGATCTATGCAGGTTTCTGGTAGGTTTTCAGCATTTACTTAGCCATCGTCATTAACACGTTATCCAATCATTTGAGGCATGATTAACCACCTGGCACGTGTAGTCTGAATATTATTTCAAGTGAAGTTTTCACTATATGAACATGTCTCGGATATTTAAAAATATTGCCAAAATGATTAGTTTGCAAAATATTCCCTGCATCTCTTCAGTACATATTAATAAGTAGCTTTCAGAGAGGATTTTCAAGTTTCTACTGAGCAACTTAGATCAGTTAAATCGATCCAGTTAGGTTTCAGAGAGGAGGATATTTATCAAAGCTTCTGGATGATGACAACAGCATTTCGAAAATTAGCACCATCTGAAGGAAGCTTTCAAAATTGACTTAACAGTTTGAATGACAACTTGATCGTCTGACAATTTGATGGACCTTGACTCTATCTGTAATACGTTAAGCTATTGTTCCATCGACAAAAGCTAATTAGAAACTTTCAATCATTTATATTATGTCATAACCAAAAGAGATGACAAGCTCTTCCTGATCTCTATAAAATAATCTGTATGTGATTATACCAGACATTATATAAGCAGAAATCAGTAAATGAGTAAATAAAAGGTGTATTTGTGTTTGTTTTTAACGATAACCTTTTTTTAAAAATCCAATAACTGTTTCTGATTTTTGTTGAGAATAAATTATACTTTGTTACGTAGAAAAATGGCTTATACATATTTACATCAGGAGAACCAGGAAAGGAATTCTCTAGCACCTCTAAAATAGTTCATTAATCTCCATAGGGTGTATGGTCGTGAATTAGGGGTACTTTGTTAACAGTATTGTAATCATCATCAGCAGCAGCATTATTATTATTATTATTATTATTTATGTCACCTTCGACTGGTGTATAGTTTCCTTTATACTCCATATCAGTTAGTGATTTAATATAATTATTATACGGTTGTAAAGTTAAATTATTTGTGATGCTATTTAATGTTGTTTTAATATTTGAAAAGAAATCAACAACAAAATTTGATTCATTTAAATTTGTTGCAATGAAATTTGGAGAAGTTAAACAAGTGTTTGATAAAATATTCACATTCTCAGTTATCATATCATTGTGTTTATTCACTGGTATAGTACAATTATCGTTTTCATGTAAAGAATAATTTGAATATTTATAATTTGTTTCTGCAACTTCTTTGGAATTATGTGAATACAGATTTCCTTCAGTAGAATCACGACGTTCTCTTGCTCGTCGATTTTGAAACCATATTTTAACCTGTACAATAATAAAATAAACGAGCAAAAATAGAGGAAAAGATTAAATGTCACATCATTTTAGCGATATTGATTTATTGGTGTCAATAACTACATAGTTAAAAAAACGGACAGGAAAGATAACATCTTATCAATACTCATGTTATCGTTTCACAATGGCTTTGAGTGAAAAAAGCATATGCAACAAGAGTTAGTTTGTAGGGGTGTGATTGCAAATACCCGTTGATGAAATTGGTTAGCGGTAGCGCTAAAATGCCGAATTGGTAGAAACTGAAATTTAGGGACCGTGAGATTGGATCCCCATGGCTGAATTATTTACGAGTTTGCCTTGTGACCAAAAGGTCCTAGGTTCGAACCCTGATTGACGTGTCCTGATGAAGAGTCCCAGACTAAGGTGAAACAGTTTTCCAGTGCTGCCTGGTTGTCTAGTGGTTATCTAACTGATGTCAGCTAGTGACCATACTTGAAATATTCTTCTTCGTCTACCTCTAAGAAGAAAACGGATACCAATCAATATTTAAATATCATATAGTTGTGGCGAGGGCTGTCTGCAAGTCAACATTATACACAACAGTTTATGTCTATGTTTACGTCCCGAATCGGGGTCATTAGAAAAAATAAGAACAAAGCCTAACCTTGAGGAACTCAACAACCAATCACTGCAGACTTAGCTTGTGCAAATACGATTCGCAGATATATCGATAACTTTGTGAGCAACGGTCACAAGCAATACAGAATAACCTTCAGCATGTAAGCAACTAATCAGAAGACGTTGCTTCTCTGCTAAAATAAAGAATAATAATGTACATAAAAATCTATAAATATCTTTTGATTTTCTCAATAATAAACGATCCGTTGCCAGGCTCTTGTCTTCTGTGGTTAATATTTTAGCCTAGTTTCTTCTCCTTGGTTCCTATCCAAGATGTCAAACTGAGCATAGCTTTAGTTAATATATGAAAATTCACCTAATAATAGTGATTTTTAGGTCAGTGAAAAGTGTTGTATGCTGTAAATCATACTACTGTTTACAGCGGAAATATTAATAATATAAATGATAGCAACGGTACAAGTAGTTGACGCAGTTGATGATTAGAACAATAAAGAAGGAGTGATAATTAGTCCTTTCGGATGTATCAACTGATTACTGAAGCGTACCGTTAGGTCCTGATACATAGGTAAAGTGGCATCTGCAATAGCTTTTTTACCTGAACATTGGGTTCACCATTTTAAGAGAGGAGGGACATTGACATGTATGCAAAGTCTTCTGTATACAACACAAGTTCTATTCGACCAAATTCTATGGTATTTGTTCTGCTTAGATCAAAGACAAATCAAAACACTGGATTGATATTCAAAATATAGGATACATTTCAGGATCAGAATTCTAGTGAGGTAATGTACGAGCACGAACGACTGAAAGTAATACGATCGCGTGTCAAATGGTGTGGATGTTTGACTACTAACCTTCACCTTAGTGTGTCGACTTAAATAATGACGGTTAGCATGCAGTGTTGAGTGAAGAATGCTTTAGGCTAATAATTTGGGGGTAATCATTTACCACTGCAATGTCATAACTTCATAAAATTAGGAGTTACGTAATACTTGAGCTGAAGTGATTAGTTAATCAGTTAAATTCGTGACCTGTAATTTACATAGTTCAAGGTGAAATCTCACCATATTTCCTTTCAGAAGCTGAAATTACTCGGATCACAGTTTTATCATCTGGTTGATACCATAAATGAAAATCAGGAAAGTAAGCATATATACGTGATACTACATACTATTGATTCATTAATTAAATTAATAGTCCCAATTGAGACATAAAAACAAAGAATTCAGCAAAGAAAATTTTCTTTCCGACGATTTCATTTTCATAGCTGTACGTTCTTTACTACCACTTTACGAATAATCTACTCTAGCAGTCCACCAGTGCACCTTAATGTCAAGAAAATGTGATCTCTATCATCTAATTCCATATGTATTTATATGTTCACCTGCTCTTGTGGTGCTAGGTACATAGGACGTTCGTCAAGAAACATATCCTGTCGCGTTCAAGAGAAACTTCCAGTTTGGCTGAGTGAAGGTGAACGTAGAGGTATTAATGCATCCATATTACAACTTATTGATACTGACCACGTAGCATCTAACACATCGTTCAATATAGTCTACAAAGTCTGCCGATAGGGACACGAGTGCATTTGCTTTGTGTAGCAGAGGCTTTGGTAATACACAACACAAAGCCAGAACTTTGGGTACAAAAACAATTTGTACATTTCAGGTGAGAGCTGGCTGTCAGTCAAAATTGGTGGACACATATTTATGTCAGTGTTTATGTCCCCAATATTGGTCGTCAGAAAAATGAGAACAAAGGCTTTGCGTAGGCGGATACAGTTAACATATAGATGATCTGACATTCAAGAAACAACCAAAAAGAGATGCAACGTTAACATTCTGTGAGAAACAACCAATCAGAAGACTGTGTATTTCTGCTAATAATAATCTATAATATGTACATGAAAATCTATAAATATGTGTCGATTTCCTTAATAAATGATCTGTTGCCTGATCCTTGTCTTCTGTTGTTACAAAATCTCTTTCGTTACCCTGGTCTTAACTTTACTATGTAATTCGAATAACAACATTTTTATCCGTCTTTATTCCGTGTTCCATTTTTTAAATTTCATTTTACTTTATGTTATCATATCCTTACATTTTATCTAGTCTACTACTTTAACAACATTTCACTCATCCTATGTTTCCATCATATTATATTCACATATTCACATTTCCCAATGTACCTTATTTTCTGATCGTCTATGTCACACTTGTCTATTGAATTTTAGACTGACGTCTATCTATTTAGTTATTCATTCATAGCGGTTAGGACTCTCGCCGACCATGCACATGGTCCGGGGTTCAATCCCCTGCCGACGCCTACCTGATATCAATGATCGAACTGCAAAATTTGGTCAACGGATATCGCATGCTGAAAATTCCATACTTGTACCGTAAATACGGTATGGATTTAAGCTGTTATATAAAATATTTTTTTTAAATAAATAAATATCTAAGCTATGGTGACTCATAATCCTGTACACCAATATTATCGCGCTTTAGTATTTCCACTTCAGTATTTCCCACAAACTGGAAGATATGCAAATGAAAAGTAACAAGCTGGCAGAAGAAGCATCAAAGATAGGACTTCAGGGGAACATAGAGAAAACAGAGGTGATGAAGATTCCTGACCAACACCAACAACAACAACAACAACAGACGACAATCAGCCTTCATAAATGGGAGGAACCTGAAAGAAACAACCTTCTCTACCTACCCTACCTGGGAAGCATCGTTTCAACTACAGGCAGAACTGACGAGGATATCAAAGGCAGAATCGGAAAAGCAAAACAATCTTTCATTACTCACATTAAGTCTGTGTGGAGGTCAGCAGCACTCATCATCAAAAATAACATCCGGATTTTCAACTCCAATGTGAAGTCAGTTAGTGCTACTCACTATACGGATCAGAGACTTGGCGAGTCATAAACAGCATCTCAAACAAACTTCACACCTTCATTAACAGCTGTCTTCGCTCAATACTCAAGATCAGATGGCCGCCAGAAAAGATCAGAAACAGTGATCTCTGGCAATGAGCGAACCAACACACCAGGAACCGATTGTGAAATAAATGGGCAGGAAGAAATGGAGATGGATTGGCTGGCCAGACTCTGAGGAAACAGGCCATCAAGTGAGTGACATCACTAGACAAGCCACTGCTCGAGTGGAACCCGAAAGGGAATCGGCGAGTTGGTCGTCAGAGTGAGGGTGACTTGGAGGAGGTGATGTGAAGAGGAGATGAAAGCATGTGGGCAGACTTGGAGCAGAGTGAAAAAGTTGACAGAAAACCGAAGGTAATGGAGATTCGCAGCTGAAGCCCTATGTTCCTCTAGGAATTAAAGGATGTAATAATAATAATTAGTATTTCCACTCCCTGTTTAGTAAATTTGTCTACACCAAGAGAGAGAGAAAAGTATAACAAACTTCTTTGGAAACTCTAATGAGATAAAAGTACTTAAAAAAGGACTAAACTTCAACGTAACAGTTAATAAATTAAAACCAGAGGACGTCATTCCTAACATAGAAGCAGCACTAAACTCAATAGATAAGACTACAGCAGAAGAGGTTCGAGCACAATGTGCATTAACCCTAAAAAATCAAAAGAAAACAAAATCAAACTTAACAAAACCAGAAAGGGAAGCTTTAATTATTCTTTGGAATGCATAGATAAGGTTTATTCTTTCAAATTCACTTCGTTTCGACTATGCATAAAAGACTAGTTAGAAGTCTATTTCAAAAGATTCAACGGTATATAGTCAATAATCATAAAAGCGCTTTCCACGTCTACTTGATGGCTACTAGCAGTAAAATGAGGCAAACATAAATTTCTTATTGATTTTGTTCAGTCTTGTCCTAACCACAATCGACGATGTTAATATGACTATTATTACCAGTAGTAGTAAAGTTATTATTATAAGTTATGAATAATCCCCACGCAGACATTACTGAAAGCCAAACAAGTAATTCAACCAACACAATGGCTCTTTTCTTTAGCTGTACAAACGTATTTATAAACAATTTTTCGTGAAAGATGGCACTAAGAAAAGTGATGAATTGTGATGAATATTAATCAATACATGGGAGTCGAATAATTGTAAGAAAGCTACGTGATTTAAAAAACCTTTTTTTTGATTCCTTTTACGTTCTCAGTGGGACACAGAGCTTCAAGCTACAGCTTTAAAGTTTCAGCTAGGAGTGGTATTTATTTTTACAGGATGGCGTTGCTAGCCTCCTCATACCCAACTTTCCCTCCTTTACCAGTCTTATTACTGTATTGGTGAGGTAAAGAAGTAAGTCGGCCTGGGAATCGAACCCCAAACCACCTGTGTGGTTGGTGAGCATTCTACCGCTGTGTTACAGACGCACAATGACTTGTAATCAAGGTAT